CCAGGGCCTGCAGAACTCAGAGATGAGCTACCCCATGGGAGAGCAGTGGTGGGCTCTGGGTTTTAAAATAGCTTGACCAAGTAGACTATGAAAATGATCAATCAGCTATTAATAAACCAAGGTTCAGTATTTTCTTCTCTCCATCTCTCTCACACACACCAAGCAAGCAAAAGGTGGGCCCTGTCTAAATAGTCTGTCCCCCCAAATCATCCACTGGTTTATAAATATCAAGAGATATTGGCATTGCTTCAAGGGGCAGCAAGTTCAATGCCACATTCTACCCTAAAGTTTTGAAACTACAAGAAGTTCTCCAGAGGACAGTAAAGCTGAGTCAGGGTGCTGTGATATTCAATGTTTCCTCTAGGCAAGATGAGCAATGAGTTAAAACTGTGGTACTTGGTTGGTAACATATGCAAAAAAGAAACCACAAATAAAAGAAATGAAATAAGAAAAGAAATTCAATTTCCCTCCCCCCAATTAAACAAAAACTCTAGGTTTTATACTCCTATGACCTAGATATCGTCAAAGAGATCATACAGAATGTTCTTAGGGAGAAAGAGATCTCAACTCTCAGCTGTTCAGCCAACTTTTCAGCTTAGAAAACTTCTTTACAAGGGAATATTGAAAGAAACACAAACAGAGGTTTATGGGATAGAAACAGTGAAAGATCTTAAACAGAACTAAATTAAGCACTGGGGAGCTGAGACCACATTATCTCAACTTCCCATTACTTGTAATAACATACACTCCAGGCTCTCCTATTAACTCTCATACTTTGAATTCCCATAAGGAAATATCACTTTTTGGAGAAGAAAAAAATCAAACACATTTCCCCGTAGTCAATGAGAGGTGATACAGGGGGAGGTAAAAGGAAATGGGCTCAGAAAGGTCTTCAAGATTTTCAATTGTTTTATCCAATGTAACAAAAAACCTCTGTAATGCAGAGACTGACTGTACAAAACTGAAAACTCAAATGGTCCTGCTGAGCTGGATTCTGGAAATACCTTCTCTGTGAAGACAGCACAATTCAAGTCCAGTTTGCAAGTTGTAGTAAATAATGAATGATGTAAGTTAGACTGCCTTATTTATTAACAAGTCAAGTGTGGCTTATATAACAGCCAAATTTTATTCTGCAGTTCTTAAAGCAAGTAAAGCACAATCCAAAGTTCTAGAACCCTGACAGAGCAGGTGATAGGTAAATACCAGAGTAATGAAACAGAGACCTTTCACTGAATCCCTATGAATGCCAAGGTTGGGGATTTTCTTAGTACAATTAATTGCAGTGGAAAAGCTTACTAATGTGAGAAGGCCAAAATCAATGTATTAATGATATAACATTACCGTCGTTTACCCAAGCCAACAATAAATTGTATACAAGAGCCTGGGCAGCAGAAGCTGCAAGTTCTATTTATTTATATTCAGAAGAAAAATATTAGCTCTGTCTCCAAGTATTACCTCCAAATCAGAGCTACTGTCACCCAAAAAGTTTAGGGGGAAACTGGTCGTCATTGACTTCCTATATGGGCAATATAAAAATCCATGCTTTTCACACACACACACACAAATACAGACAATATACTTAATACTACTTAATGGTACACTGAAAAATGACTAAGATGATGTGTTTGTGAACACAATTTTTAAAAAATGCATGACCTATTTTAACCAAGCCATTTACTACTTGAGTGAAACAGAATTTGCCCTTTGTAATGCATTTTGGTACTTGATATAACTGAGACTTAAATGGATGATTATATAATTCCAACAACAGTCTTTACTCTTGAATCAATTCTGTGTGACAGTAGTGTTGTTTTTAAATTTAACTAAGCACTGCCTAGGTGTAACCATTTCCAAACAACAGAGTCTAGCACTTACCCCAAGTATGATGTAGGGCAACTGTGATATATAACTATCAAGAGCAATAAAGAGCTGTAGATATAGATTAAGTTAGTGGGTGAAGAGGATGTGATGTATAGTAATGGAAAGATTTTCAGAAAAATAGGTTCAAACAATGGTTCTAAAAATGAAATGTCAACTTGGCTTAAAATATGCATGTAGAGGCCCTCCCTGGTGGCGCAGTGGGTTAAAGCACAGCACTGAGAAGCTAAAGCCACTTCTGCATGAGTTCGATTCCACCTCTCTCCTGACCCACCCGCAGCTCCCCTAAGCAGTATACTTCCTCGATCTGCCTGTTCTGCTCCCCATTCTGTCTCTGGTGAAGACTCTCGCCGCCCCTGAGCCTCTGGCCTGTACCCCAGTTCTGTATGCACAAATAAATATTTAAAACAAAAAAATATGCATGTAGAAACAAAAGTAAAATCTTATCTCTCAACTAGTCTGTACCTGTATTTTTCAAATGTTCTATCAAGGATTGTCTCTGAATTATAAAACGTACAGTGGCTGTACTTTTCTCCCAATATATAGATATTAGGAAACACTATTTAAAAATAATATAGAAAGAGCAGTTATTTCGGTAAGTTCTAATCACAGGCTTCTTTTTACTTAAAATTTTCCTTTAAAAAAGTAGAAAATTTTAACTTCAGCTAAATACCATTAAACTAGAACTCTAAAAGAGGTTATTTAGAACTATCATTAAATCTATCAACAAAGTAAAAAAAAAATGTGTATCTAATCTAGCTCCAAATGTAGCTGATATCCAGAGGCCACTAGTTAAAAGCTGTTCAAGCAAATATTAACATGGAAGAGAAAGATCACGGAGAGTGTCACATAAGGATAAGCGAAAAACAAGTTCATCCACATTAATATCATTTTGACATCAAAACAGAAGAATTCAAAATAATTATATGATATGCTTTCCAAATAAGTATTCTGTAACATTTTACAGATAAAGGCAGAAGGATGCAAATTGGCTGGTTTCAAGCAAAGTTGAGGAACAGAGCAAAGAAATATTCTTTTTCTACCAGTCTAATGTAAATAAACGCGTTCCCCAACCTGATCACTTATCCCTATGTACTTTTCAGTCTCAATGAATTTCTAAATCAAAAGGAAAAAATAAAAGTAGAAATTAAGGGTGCCATTATTGAATGAATAAATGTGACAATGCTTTGATACTTCTAAAATTCAATTTTTTTCAAATGCCTGAAAATAGGAATTTACCATCAAAGATAAAAGAAACAACAGCAACTGTGAGAAGTGATTTAAGAAAGCTCTGCTCAAATTTATTGATTTCATATATGTCAGGCCACAAAGACCACTGAGGTTTAAAATCGTAATTTTTAAAGTCTTCCTTTTCTCTGATTAGGGCCTTAAAAATATAACATGAAAATGAGTAGCCCTATTTGATTTCCCCATCATGTATCTATCATTAACACATAATTGTAAAGCAAACCAAAAACATGACATCTAATCATACAAAGGCTCTCATTTTTTTTTTCAAAATACTTGGAAGGACTATGAACTCCTATGGCCTCCTTCATCTGCTTACCAATACCCCTTCTCTTGAAAAGGCACACAGATCCTGACAAAAGACCAGAAACACTTTGACCTGCCTGGCGAGAGCCTCTGCCAGCCCAGCCCAGCCCAGGGCCAGCACAGTTGGGGCCCTACCCTGCCTTTCTCTGCTGCAGCCCTGCCTGATGCTCTCTTTGCCAAAAATTGCGACCCAAGCATCCTGATCCAGTCTGACAGTCGCCTCTCCCAGCACATCTTAGTTCTGCTAGCCAGGAAGGTCCCCACTGTTCTGTGGTCATTTCCTTCTGCCCGAGCCTATCACTAGCAAAACAAACAACAGAAACTAGTAAGGTCTCTTACTTACATTGAAAAACAGGTTGTCTTGACCTACCTTGGCAGAAATCTGGGGGTGCGTTTTCTGTGGAGGAGGGTGGGAGGAATGCATGCGCACTCACCAACCAGAAGGCCCCAGCCAAAGCCTTACTATCAGGGGTACCTATCTTAGACACCAGAAGGGAAGTCAGGATAAACTTTGCCCTATAATCCTCTACAGGGATGAGTAAAAGTTCGTGATAGTGAAATATTTGAACTGGTTAAGTTCTAATATATATATTATTGTATATGGAGAGTTTTAATTGATGTAATTGTAGGCCTACATAAAAGGTGACAGGGCAATGCTGGACAAAGGACTGGTGAATTCTTACATGGTAGTATATTTTTCACAAGGTATCAGAGGAAAAGAACAGAAAAGCAATTCTGTATCTCCATCAGACCAGGATAACCTCAAACATTTTCAGAACCTAGGAGTCTCATGTTTATGGCCACCTACATCACAGCACTACACACTACTTTATCATCCAAGCCAGTCCTGGGATATTATTCAATGAGGAATTAAGATTTATAATCCAAATGGTCTCAAAATTGTATCTCTGGGAAGTCAAATCCAAATTAAATCAGACCAGGCTTTTAGGCTTCCAACGATCACATTTTCTCTTTGGAGCCAGTACATTTCGACACTCAGAACTTCTCCTCTTACAGATCATTTTCAAGGCCATCTCTGGATGCAATCTCCTTAGCAAAATCTGATATATAAAATGAAAAGGGAAATTGGTGAACTCTAAATTTCAGAGGAAGATGTTAAAGTGGAAACTGTAACCCTCAATAGATTTCAAGAAGTGCATTATTTTAACCCCCTTGCAGTAAATATTACCAGAACTTCTCCGAACACAACATACACCTAGCACCCTATGGAACAAAAATGTCCAGAAGTAACCTACTGCATAGAGAAGGCTTAAAGCATGCTCGCATCCAGACATGGGAATATAAAGAGCAGAATCTCTTCTCACAAGGAATGTATACACTGAATATATACAATATTTAAAACTTAGGCTGTCACACCGTTCCCTTTATAAGCAGCCCCAGGTCAATGAAACACACAGGTAACTGGGGGGAAATGGCCCAGTCCTTGCATCTCTTATCTTTGCTATTTCCCCCCCAGACCTGACACAACATTCATGACCAGGAGGGACCTTCCTAGCATGCCCTGACCTAGGTAGGAGGAGCAGAGGGTAAAAGTGCCAGAAACTCACATTTCCGTGATGTTCTCAGGGTCTGCACTGGTAGGCTCCAACCTCGGAAATGCCACGATGCCAGGAGAAGGGTCGCTGCACCAGATGCGAGAAGCGCTGCATTTGCAGGACGTGGGACAGGCGAGAGCGGCTTTCCAGAAGCCCATCACCAGCCAGCAGAAGCCCCAGAGCCTCGCCATCGCAGGTCCATGCCTCCTCGTCCAGGACAACATCCCTAGCAGCCAGGGCCAGTGCGAGTCAGCCAGAGTGCGCGTCCCTGCGCTGGACCAGCCGGCCTCCTCTGCCGACGCTGGGCGGCCTTGCGGCGCTCGCCACTCTCTCCACTCAGTTCTTGCCACCGCGCGCGCGGAGCCTCGCGTGTCCCGACTGAGCGAGTCCTAGGGGGCCGCACGGTTCACTGTAGTCGGGGCATCTCCGGCCGCCTCACAGGGGGCGCTGCGGCTGCTCAGAGCTCCCCCGCGGCCGCCGCTGCATGGCCCGGCGCGCCGGGCACCGGCCGGCGGCACTCGGGGACTCTCTGGGATGCAGGCTTCTTGCCAGCTCACGGGGATTCCGGACGCACCTCGGGGCTGAGAACAAACAGACAGGCGTAAGAAGGAGCGCAGGACCGCGTACACAGTGAATTGGGGCACTCTCCCTCCGCGCTAGCGTCATCCCCACCCCGACCCCAACCGGAAGGCTGTGGATGGACGGGTGCCCAGCTCTGGCCCCAGAAATAAACTTGACTCCCGATGGCACGGCGCCGCTGGGGTCACCAGTATGCCCGCCCTCTCTCCAAGCCTGAGCTTGAGAGAGGAGATCACCAGGTCACCGAGCCAGGATTCCATGGCACAGGCCAGGCGACGGACCCTTTAAAGGAGGACGCGGAGACTGCCTGAGGCGATGGCTCCGCGACGGGGCCCCCAATGATGCTGCACAATCCGCCACCGCCGCTGGACGCTGGGGGCGCAGGCAGGTGGCGCGGCGCGTCCCACCTGGGGAGCGCCGCGGCCGCCCGGGGGGGTGGGGGGGGGACGGTGAGGGCCCAGACGACGGAGGGTACTGTCCGTGCTGCTCACCCGGGCTCTGGCGCCTACCACACGCCAGCCGCGCCTGGGTCTAGGCTCCTCCTGCCGCCGGGGACTGAGCGTGGAGAGCCCGAGCGAAGGAGCAGCCAGGCTTCTGCTCCAACCCAATTCCGGGAGCCGCCGCCGCCGCCGCCGCCGCCGCCGCCTCTGCTACTGCTGGCGAAGTGACGTGAGGGCTGACGCAGAGCAGGGGCAGAAACTCCAGAAAATTAGTCTGAAATCCAAAAACACACACGCTCATACACACACCAGCCCATAACACCCTCCAGACAAAAGCAACAGGGAGGGGAGGGGAATCTGGGGGCGAGTGGGGAGGAGGCAGGCTTCAGTGCCACTGGCCAGAAGCAGACAGCAGTAGCATGTGGGAGTTCACACACGCACACACACGCATACAACTGGTCGTGTCGATGCGCACGACGGTGTGTGTGTTTGTGTGTGTGTGTGTGTGTGTGTGTGTGTGTGTGTGTGTGTGTGTGGTGTTTAATTCCAGGTACCTCGGAGACGGACTGTTTCTCTGTTTCTTCGCCGCTCAATGTCTCCCGGTCCCTAATTCTCACTGCGATCTCTTCTGCAATCGCAGTAGGTAGAGGCTGCCTCCTTTTTTGAAATGGAAACCCGGCTGGCTGGGTTCAGCGCTGAAAAATGCGCTGATTCTTATTATAGGAATTCTCCTCCCTTCTCCCTCCTGGCTGCGCTCTCCTTTGCCGCCTTGCATAAAAGGACGAGCTAGCCTATAAATAAATAAATTTTGTAAACACCGAAACGTGCTCGACATTAGTAACCAAGGATAACGCCGCAATTCCGGGCTATTTGGAGATGGGCGGCTTTGGTGGATCTTCCTGTTGGTGCTTTTGCAGAGGGAGGAGAGGCTCCAAATGCTGGTCGAGCTCTTTAAATGGGTCTTTCTCCTGCCGTTTTCTGGCCTCACACGTCCAGAAAATAGACATGTGAGGGCAGGGAGCGCGCCTGAAGCGTACTGGGGTCCCTAAATGCGCTGCAGCGAGCCTGGCCTGTCGTACGTGTTGCGCCGCGTCATTTTCACTCATTCTTCCACCTGGCAGGATGCAGCCATTCCTAAATCGTAGCTTCACTTTCCGCGATACCCACCCCCACGCGGGGCACCCGAGCCCTTGCGCCCCTGTCGTACCTTGCGCGTTTTCGTGTGTGCGCGGGTGTACGCGAACGCGTGCCCTACGCCCGCGCTGCCCGTAGCACGACATGCATCCAGCTACTAGCAAGCCTGACTCCGGCAGAGCCTTGGGGTCTCACTAGGGACAAACGAAGCGATCCGGGATGGTCTGGTGACAAACCGTCACTGCTCTGCCCGCGCAGTTAAAGGATGGCTGCGGGGCATTCGCAAGCCTTGTCTGAGAATCCGTCTTCCCATTTGCGATTTGGAGAGTCTGTTTTTCCGCAGTCATTTAAAAGGGAACTGGGAAAATGCACCGCAGTGTCTGACACTTCCGAGGGCTCTGGTGCCCCCGCGCGGAGAAAGAGGGCCGGGCACGCTCGGTAACAAATTCTCCGCCACCGTCGCCGCGCGCGATGTGCTGGGGCGCGCGCTGGCTCCGGACGCGCAACCCTCGGCGGCTCTAGCCTCCAAAGTGTCGCTGCTCGGCCCCGCGCTCCTGCCAGTGGGGAAAAGGCGGGCATTTTTCAGTCTAGAGAGAGGGCCCTGGGAAAGAATCTCTTCAAAATATGGGAACGGTTCATCGGTCTGCCCACAGAAGCTGAGAGCAGGAAGAATCTAGAAACCCTAAGGTCAAAGTAAAAGCTCAAAACTTGGTGTACTTTATTTTACAAAGAGACAAAACAAACAAACAAAAAAACACCCGGTAGGACTCCAGACGCTGAGAGTAACCCCGGAAATCCTTAGGCCAACCGAAAAATCTTGATGCAGACCCTGAAGACAAGAATAATGGTCTGCTAGCTCAAAGTCACTAGCTGTGAGATGCATTGGATGCTGAAGGTTTTTCTCTGCGAGGCCTCCTCTCCTGCGGAGTAAAGCCGTGCCAGTGCCATGGAAGAGAAGCCAGGGCAAAAATGTCTTGATTTAGATCACACAGTAACACTTCTTTGCCAGTCTTGTCACTGTCCTTAATTGGAGCTGCCTGTGTGGGACACCTGGGAGAGGAGTGTGTGCATAATTGCCCATATTTAGGCCACAACCCCACCCTCAACCCCACTTTTCTCTGAAATCACCCACTTGCACCCCAGTGGCTGCAAAGTGTCAATGCAGAATTCAAATTACCAATAGTCTCGGAGTGGTTTTCAGACTAGAAGACTCAAAGTGTATTGGAATATTTTTAGCGTTCCTACTACAATCTACTGTTTCATTACACTACTGTCGTATTAAGATCTTAAATATGCCCGATTGAATATCTCCTGCTTAAAATTAGATCAGAGGGCCCACTTCTAATAGACCCTCCACTGCTCCTCTTCTTCTTCCACAGTTCTTATCTTTTAACAGGTCATTTACTTAATTGTTTATTGTATTTCTTCCAGTAGCAAACAGATTCTAGGACTCAGGGATATTTATTTTATTCATTGATATAGCTCAAAGACACTGTAGGTTTTAAAATAAATATGTTTAGTGAAAAAATTAAATAAACTAAAACTGAGGTTCCTCAAGTAGACCTCTACATTCTCACTTTCTTAGTCTCTAAACATTCCAGTCCACTGAAATGATGTCCCTAATGCCCAGACTCCCTCCTGTCGCCACAGTCTCTGCATCTTCCTTGCACAATGAGTTCTTGTAGAACTCCTTAATACCAGACTTCTGCCTCCTTTAGTATCCAGATACATTTAAGCACTGATCCAGGGAAGATCTGTGGCTCACTCATGCTGGTCACTCAATGTTATTATAATAGTGCCTGGATGACCAGTAGCAGCTCCACCTGTTAAAATTACGCATCAATCACAATGTTAAGCCCTAGAAGATATTTCACACACATCATTTTAGGGGTTCTCAGACCTGAGATGATGATGAATTTTTTTAGAATTTGGTGAACATTTTTCAGATAGACAGTTTCCCCTGGTAACACAGATTGATAATTTTTCCCTGATCATAGGAACTAGGCCAGGCAGACATGGAGACGAAGTGTTACAGATGCTGCCTATAGTACAACATGATATACCTAGGTTAATATTTCTTTAACTTTTGCCATGACACACACTAAAAAATGCCTTTTATATTACAATCTAATGCACATGTGTATTTAGGCACTTAACTAAAAAAAGTCTCACAAAACAAAATTTATTTGATCTTAACACGTGGACTACAATGGCATTTTCTTTTCTATCTTATAGCATTTTATTTTTTATGCTTGCAATAGCACAGTAAGTTGATTTTAATGTCCAATATTGACATATAGGCAAAATTTTATATATATATACTACTAGCTTCTACTTCTAATGAAGATGGAATAACAGTGAATAGGTTTAGCCTCCCAACCAAAATCATCAAAACATTGGGGAAAAAATGAAATAGAAATTTTCAAAGCATGGACATAAGGAAATGAAGGTTGTCGCTCAGGAAGCAGAAACCCCTACATAGGTCATCTCCCTAGGCTGAGGAGATATCACTGAGAGTCCAGGGACATCAAGCAAGGCAGAGCTTCCCAGGACAGAGTCTGTAATGAGAGAGTGCTCAAAAGATCTGCAAAGATCCTTCTCAAATGTTCAGTTCTGATTAGCACATGAGGTGATTAAATTACTTGATAGAGAAAAGAGCTCCAAAAGGACCTCTTACGGAACAGAATCAAAGAAAAATTGGAAACTCCACATATCAGAATTTGTGCTTAGTATGTCAGTTATATCCCATAAAGATGGAGGGGCTGCAGCCCTCTCTAGTGGCACAACAGGTAAGGACTCAGCAGCACAGCAAGCCAGCCCCAGCCAGTTCAGTGTGAGCTGGATCCCCCGCCTCAGAGGCGGTCCCCATGGAGTGGCAGACCTCTCCTGACCCGCCCCCTGCTCCCCTCAGCAGTGTACTTTGTTGTTCTGCCTGTTCTGCTCCCCATTCTGTCTCTGGTGAATCCTCTCACCACCCCTGCACCTCTGGCCTGTACCCAGTTCTATATGCATAAATAAATAAATCTTTTTAAAAAATTAGTCAAATTTTTAAAAAGAATATGTGCCATGTTGCTGCCCCATCTCCAGCTCCATGAATGGAGCTGGAAGGGATTATACACAGTGAAATGAGCCAGAAAGAAAAAGAAAAATATCAAATGGTCTCACTTATAGGAGGCATGTAGAGGAACCAAATAAGAGAGCAGGAGAAAAAAAGGAACTATAATAAAGTAAAAATCAAAATCACCAGGCAACCATAGATCAGAGATATTCTGTAGAGCAGGAGGGAGATGGAACAGTACTGGAATAGGAAGAACACAAAGGACTATGGAGATGGCGCAGGGTGCATTGATGGTGGGAATTTCATGGGTAAATCATACAGTGTACAGAATGAAGGATGATGTAATATATATATTTAATTTTTTAATGTTTAATTCAGCCCATTGGGAAAAAAGACTATGTGTCATACCACTGAAACATCTTAAATGGTTGTGGGTAAATTTATAGCTCTAAATACTTACGTTAGAAAAAAAAACTGAAAGTTCTCTTACCAGTGGCATCAGCTACTACTTAAGAAACCAGAAAAAGAGGAACAAATTAAACATAAGATAAACAGAGGAAAGGAAATAATTAAAATTAGAGTGGGGCAAAATGCAATAGAAAAATGAAAGAAAGTCAATGAAACCAAAAGCCAGTTCTTAGAGAAGATAAAAAATACTGGTTAGCAAATGCTCTAGCCAGAGTGATTTGGGATAAGATAAAAAAGACAAATTAACAGTAACATAAATGACAGCAGTGGCAACACTACCAAGTGTGTAGATGTGGATAAGAGAATAATGTAATATTATAAACAATTATATGCAAATGATTTTTTCTTTTTCTTTTTTAATAATATAATAGTTTATTTTTACATCATTTTGTGCATTTTTCCATCTCAGTTGCAATCCCCTTGGACTTCCCATCACCAAATCACCCATGTGCCATCACCATAGTCCAGTGCATTTCCCTCCTCCCACTGTTTTTGATCCCATTCCCCACTCCACCCCTATAAAATGTCTCTGGTATATGGCTGTTCATTATTATTATTATTTTCTCGCCTGGTCCATTATACTCCTACTATGAGTGAAACCATCCAGAATTTTTCCTTTTCTTTCTGGCTTATTTCGCTAAGCATGATGTTTTCCAGGTCCATTCATTTTGCTGCAAACAG